AATCCCCTGAGTTTTGACTGCTTGCACCTGTGTTGATGATCATATGACAGGTAGTTTAGAGTAGATAAGCCCGGGCTTTAGATAGAATCACTGCGAGGTATTGTTTCTTTGAGACTACTGAGCGTTTTTTCTTCCTGTTCTGATTGTTTACCGTGTTTGACCTTTTTGCTTCGTTTGACTCCGTTTTTGACTATTGCCTATTCCTTTGGTACTTTCGCTTGTGTGTATGATCTGTGTTCTGACTTTCGGACTGTTTTTTGACTACGATCTCTGTTTTTCCCCTTTTGACTACGGCCGCTTGGTTTTTATTAAACCATCTGCACTCACCATCCGCACACGTCTGGTTTTCTGTCCGAGCGTTACACTTAGTTGCAACGCTGTATTAAAACTAACTCCGCCATGTGGAGGCTGTGCTTTAGACTGTCCATCTCTCACTGTGAGTTGTCCACAGCCACAGACAGAGTGATAAAAACAGTTTACACTATATGGCCAAAAGTATGTGGACAACTACACATCGCACCCATATGAACTTGATGGACATCCCATTCCAAAACCATTGGCATTAATATCAAGTTGGCTATAACAGCCTCCACTCTCCTGGGAAGCTTTCCACAAGATGTTGGAGTGTGTCTGTGGGAATTTGAGCCTGTTAGGTCAAATGAGCATTTGTGAGGTCAGACACTGATATTAGATGAGAGGGCCTGGCTCACGAACGACATTCCAGTTCATCCCAAAGGCGTTCAGTGGGGTTGAGGTCAGGGCTCTGTGCAGGCCACTGGAGTTTCTCCACACCAAACTGGTCACTCCATGTCTTTATGGAGCTCGCTTTGTGCACAGGGTCTCAGTCATGCTGGAACAGGAAAGGGTCTTCAACAAACTGCTGCCACAAAGCTGGAGGCATATAATTGTCCAAAACGTATTTGTGCTGTAGCATCAACATCACCCCTCACTGGAACCCTGAAAAACAGCCCCAGCCCATTATCCCTCCTCCACCAAACTTTACTGTTACCACTATGCATTCTGGTTGGTAACGTTCTCCTGCCATCTACCAAACCCAGACTCATCCATCAGACTGCCAGATAGTGACGCGTGATTCAACACTCCAGTGAACACGTTTACACCGCTCCACAGTCCAGTGGTGGCATGCTTTACACCACTCCAGCCGACGCTTAGCATTACACGTAGTGATCTTAGGATTGCGTGTAGCAGATCAGCAGTGGAAACGCATTTCATAAAGGTCTCAATGTGCAGATCTTTTGCTGATGTTGCTTCCAGAAGCAGCTTGGAACTCTGTAATGAATGATGCAACAGAAGATAGGGGCTGTATACTTCAGCACTCGGCAGCCTCACTCAGTGAGTTTGTATAGTCTACCACTTCACAGCTGAGCTGTTGTTGCTCCCAGATGCTTCCATTTCACAGTAATAGCACTTACAGTTGTCTGGGGCAGATCTAGCAGGAAATTTCATGAACTGACTTACAGCAAAGGTGGCATCCTATGACACTGCCATGTTTGAAGTCACTGAGTTCTTCAGTACGACCCATTCTACTGCTACTGTTTGTCTATGGAGACTGCATGGCTATTTGCTTGATTTTTTACACCTGTTTGCAATGGGTGCGGCTGAAACACCTGAATTCAATATTTAAGGGGGTGTCCACACACTTTTGGCCATATAGTGTAGATGTGAATTATGTGACAACTCAGTAATCGAAAACACTTATGATACAAAAGTAACTTTTATGATACAAAAACAGTTTTCAGTATGAACCAATCACATATCAATTGAAAGAAGGAGTCATAGAGCTTCTGACTGTCAGTGGAAGATGGCTCCCTTCAGTCTGAGAGGAGATGGAGACCCCTGAGCAGAAAGCGTTCTGCGTTCTCCACTTCAATAAGAGTGAATCCGTCATAACTGTGCAGTGTGATTTTTGTCGGCAGTGAAGCTCCAACAGCTCAGAGCGTTCGTCGTTGGTTCCACAACACTGGATGATCTCCGAAATCGCACTGAAAGAGCCGTGAGTGCAGCGACACCCGACACGCTCAATCCAGTATGGGATGAATTTGACTATGGCGTTGATGTTGTCTGTACAGCTGGAGGAGGTTCATACTGAGACCTTGTACAATTACAGGATAAACTTTATGCTCATTTAAACCATTTACAGTTCACTGCATTGTTCTGTAATGATTTACAAGTGAAACAAATCATTTTGAAATCGGAGGAATCTTTTTGAATTACCCTGTATTTGTCCAATTGTCCAAATTTGCAGATGTTGTTGTCATGGGAACATGAGAACAGTACTAAAAGAATGTCCTACTTGTATCTATTTATTTATATAAAGTAGCTCATGTTACATTTCCCCCCCATGTTAGTTTGTGCTCTGTTCTATCTGATTTTTTTTATTTTTATGATCAGATAATGTAATATAGATTGCAGTGTAGTTTAGTGGTGCTGGGTCATCTTAATTTTTGGAGTGTTTACCTTGAAGTGAGACTTTATAGACACACATTTGCATGAATTAGTTAAGAAGAGCATCTTAAGACATCTTAACGGTTCAATCAATAAGCTGTTGAGGCCTTGCAGTACAGTCCCGGGGGTCCAACAGCAATACCCCTTAGTATTGTCTGGTTCACTGAGAGGTCTCTTTAAAAAGCTAGTACCAAAAAGGGTTCTTTGGAGCTCTTAAAAAAGATGGTTCTTCAAGGGTCCTTTAGTAAAGACAATGATTCTATTTAGAACCATGAACACTCAAAGAACCATGTGCATGCTTAAACGGTTCTTTGCACAGTGAAATTGTTTTTCAGACTGACGGAGAATGTGTTGTATATGGTTCCGTATGAAACCTTTTTGAAAATGGTTCCGTATGGGACCAAAAAGGGTTTTGCTGCTGTTACAATGTCAAGCGTGATACAACAGAATATCATACACAAGACATTCTCCATCAGAAGAACCATTTCACCATGCAAAGAAGCATTTAAGCATGCAGATGGTTCTTCACGTGTTCATGGTTCTGTATAGAACCACTGTCTTTGCTAAAGAACCCTTGAAGAACCATCCTTTTCGAGAGTGTATGACATCGATCCAAAGAACCCTTTTTGTACTGGCTTTTTAAAGAGATTTCTCAGTTATGCACCAGCCAAAGAACCATTTAAGTATGCAGATGGTTCTTCACGTGTTCATGGTTCTATATAGAGTCATTGTCTTTCCTAAAGAACCCTTGAAGAATCATCCTTTAAGAGTGTAGAAGAACCAATTTTCCCTAAAGACCCTTTCAGCGGATGATTGGGACTGAAATGAGCCTGAAGCACTTCCACATAATGAGAAGGTTCTACGCCAGTTAAAGGTTTTTCTAGCACACTGCATCTAATCAAAGAACCCACTATCAATAAAACCTTTTCAAAGTGTGGACAGTATTTCACAATTTAAAACTGAACAGATAAAGGATTTCCAGCTTTACTGAGAAACCCTGCTTTATGAAATAGAGCCCACTGCGCCGCATGCTCCTGAGGTTTTCCTGCTACACATCGGCTTCAGCCCATCAGGTGACTATCGAGCTCTACATGAGTCGAGTCAGGTGTTTTGGAGCAGGAATGCAGCAGCGTGCAGAGCAGCGGGACTGCAGGAGCAGGCTGGGAAACACGGGCTTAGGGAATGTTTCCCTCCACTATTCTGCTGCTCTAAAAATAAAGAAAGTAATGAAAAATTAACGCAGGGAGGACAGTGTGCTGGGGAGACAACAGCGAGGCTTATTTTTAGTGCACAGCATCATGGTGGCCTGAGAGGGACAATCGCCTTTCTTTATAAACCAGTGCGATTATAATAATGATCACAATTTTGCGTTGCTGCTATGGTTGGATGCATTCTGTATTCATTTCACCGGCTCAGCCTCTACTGGGACATTAAAGGGGAGCAGTTGGCTGCTCTTCCCTCAGCAGGTTCGCAGCATCTAGGATACTATTATGAATCCGTTATTCATTCACATTCACGTTTTTGAAGCACTACAGATTAAAGCTACTACAACATATATAGCCTGAGAATCTCCTCGCATGAGAAGATCAGAAGGAGGTCGGGATCAAACTGAGCTCTTCTTTCTACATGAACTCTTCACCCGAACTCTTCTCCTGCCTAACTCTTCTCTCATCTGAATTCTTCACTTGACTGAACTCCTTACCGGAACTCTTCCCCCATGCTGGGCTGTTCGCTTACAGAAGACTTAAACTCTTCTTCAACCTCGCAAGAACAGGACAGTCAAGTGGAAGCTGGGATCAGACTCTTCTTCTACAAGAACTGTTCTTCCACCTGGACACTTCATGAGAACCCCCCCACCCCCCCAACACACACACTGAGCTGTTCTCCTACAGAACTCTGCACAGACCTCTTCACTTGGACTCTTCTCTCACTTGAACTCTTCACCAGAACTCACTTCACTTAGACTCATATCTCACCCGAACTCTTCCGCCACACTGAGCTGCTCTTCTACAGAACTCTTCACTTGGACTCTTCTCTCACCTGAACTCATCTCCTGACCTCTTCACTTGGACTCTTTTCTCACCCAAACTCTTCACCTGAACTCTTCACTTGGACTCTTCCCTCTCCTGAACTCTTTACTTGGACTCTTCTTTTTACCTTAACTCTTCTCCTTACCTCTTCACTTGGACTCTTCTCTCCCCTGAACCCTTCACCTGAACTCTTCACTAGGACTCTTCTCTCACCTGAACTCTTCCGCTACACTGAGTTGCCCTTGTACATAATTCTCCACTTGAACTCTTCTCTCACCTGAACTCTTCACTTGAACTCTTCTCCTGACCTCTTCACTTGGACTCTTCTCGCACATGAACCCTTCATCTGAACTCTTCACTTGGACTCTTCTCTCACCTGAACTATTCACTTGGACTCTTCTCTCACCTGAACTCTTTACTACCTTAACATTTGTCCCACATTAACTTTTCTCCATTTAATCTTTTTCCTTGAACTCTTCTCCACCTGAACCCTTCATCTCCTACCTGAACTCCGGTGCCGCCGCATCCGTCCCTGGCGCGTAAATCCCTGACGACAGCGTTAACAGCCAGTGTGGCACAAAGCTTCCACCTTCACATTCCAGGTACGGCGCTGACCACTTTATCTCGCCTGGCTCTGGACCTCGACCTCTGATCCCATGCACCCTCTTCCGCTCCCTGAACTCATCATGCCACTCAGACTCCTTTAGGTCCCTCACCGCCACGTGCCCGCCACTCCTGGTAGCCTGCAGGAGCAGCCGTGGCTTGGCCTGGAGTGCCAACGCTGCCCGGTGGATCCTGAGGTCCGCGTCAAGCAAGCTGCGCACCAGTGCGCCATACCACACCGCGTCCCGCTGTGGCTGCCCGTCCCCCAGAGGCAGCAGGCCATTCAGCAGGCCAGCGGCTCGCACCACGGCCTCCACGGCCGGCCGCAAGGAATGCCTTGACGTGGAGGAAGAGGAGGCTCGCAATCCACCCAACTCGTAGCGGCGTGAGCAGTTCGCTTGCGCCAATGCAGACGAGTCCCCGGTGTGCAGGAAAGCTGCCACCACCTTTGGCACGTCTTCCTCCAGACGGTGCGCCACAGTGGTGCGCATCGTTGGCCGCTGAGGCGCCTCCGCATCCCCACGTGCATTTTCACCGTCCGCCCAGTCCACGTACCCGTAGCCGTACACGTAGCTGGAGCCCTGCAAAAGCCCCGTCTGCACGAGGAGCCACAGCAACAGCGCCCCCATGCTGCAGAACCGACGAAGAAATGACACTCTTTTCACGCTGGGACCCGACTCGCCTTCGCGTGCATCATTAGACCGAGAGACAAAAACGGAAACGTAAAAGTTGCACAACTCCACGCGTCTTCATTTGCATCGTGCACGAGCAGCGCGCGCGCTCAGACAGTGAGAGAGAGGGAGGAGGAAAGCCTGCAGGACCCCACGCTTCATCTGCATCGTGCTCTCGAAGCCTCCGTTCACGCACGAGCCCGACCTGTTTGTGCACGCGCTGCTCACGCGGGGAGAAAAGGAGAAAAGTTGCAGGAGTCCGGAATCCATTTCCGCCGCTTTAGCTCAACTAGCGTTTCACGAAAGAGACGACAAAAAAGGGAAAAGTTGCAGAAGTTCGCGCTTCATTTGGCTCCTTCTGCCAAAGCCTCGCGCCCGGGCAGCCCTGACGGCTCGGTGTCGCGCGCTCCGGTTCGCTCTCGCGCCTCTCTGCTGCCTCTGTCCATGGTGCTGGAGCTCGCGGAAACCTCTGATTCTCTCTCTCTGCAGTGAGAGCTGTAGATGTGGAGCAGCGCGCGGTGGATAAACCCGCCTCCGCGCGACCACGCGCCTTTTATCAATCAGAAGCAGGGGGCGGAGCTACAACACTCAGATTAAAAAAAAACAACAACGTTGAATAAGACTTATAATCAACAAACAACAACAAAAACAACAAACAACAGCTTCACAAACAGCAGCAGCAAAAACAGGTAGAACAGCGAGCACGAGCCCAGCTGATTAAAGGCCATTAGAAAGGAACCAGAAGGAACTTCTAGTGGTTTCTATGACTTTTCTCAGCAGCGAGAACAAACCTCAAAAACAAACAGTGTGCATGCTTAAACGGTTCTTTGCACGGTGAAATTGCTCTTCAGACTGACGGAGAATGTGTTGTATATGGTTCCATATGAAACCCCTTTGAAAATGGTTCCGTATGGGACCAAAAAGGGTTTTGCTGCTGTTACAATGTCAAGCGTGATACAACAGAATATCATACACAAGACATTCTCCATCAGAAGAACCATTTCACCATGCAAAGAAGCATTTAAGCATGCAGATGGTTCTTCACGTGTTCATGGTTCTGTATAGAACCACTGTCTTTGCTAAAGAACCCTTGAAGAACCATCCTTTTCAAGAGTGTATGACATCGATCCAAAGAACCCTTTTGTACTGGCTTTTTAAAGAGATTTCTCAGTTGTGCACCAGGCAAAGAACCATTTAAGTATGCAGAGGGTTCTTCAAGTCTTCATGGTTCTATATAGAGCCACTGTCTTTGCTAAAGAACCCTTGAAGAATCATCCTTTAAGAGTGTAGAAGAAACACTTTTTTCCCTAAAGACCCTTTCGGCGGATGATTGGGACTGAAATGAGCCAAAAACAGCATAATCAAAAATGAAAACATCAACAACTGCAGCAATAATAGGATTTAAAGCAATAAACAACAACAGCTTTAAGAACAACAGCAGCAAAGACAAAAATAAACATCAACAACAAAAAAAACAAACAGCATTTCATAAACAAAAATACAGTCAACGACAGCGGCAACACTGGCAGGACTTCAATCAACAAGCAGCTTTAAAAATAACAACAACAAACGTAACAACAAACATCAGCAACAAGCAAAACAAACACCTCAACAACAGCAGCAGCAATAATAAGATTTCAATCAACAAACAACAGCTTTACAAAACAGTAACAACAGTAAACACAAAAACAAACAACATTATAAACATACAAATGTATAAGCAAATGTGATGTACATGATTCTTTATAGAACCTTTTTGAAAATGGAAAAAGGGCTCTTCTATTGTTAGAGGCTTGACTATGTAACGATAGAAGTACCCTTTTTGTTGCTACATAGAACCCTTTCCAAAAAGGTTCTATATAGAACCATCTACAGGACATTCTCCATCAATATGAAGAACCATTGAACGATATGCAAAGAGCCCTTTGATCATGCATGGTTCTATATAGAACCATTTTCTTTGCCAAAGAACCCTTGAAGAACCATTAAAAGTATATATACAGCAAAAGTTTGAATTTATATTTTAAAATAAAACTAAGTTATTTTAACAGTTACATCTTCTTGAGTCGTCAATTTAGCAATATTGGTTTTTAAATCAGTCATATGGAATTCCAAGTACCACAGAAGAGCTCGTCCTCACAGTCATGTGTGAAGGCTGAGGCCATATTTTGAGGTAAAAAACACATTTTTCTGTAATTTTAACTGCAGTAATCTGTACATGACTATGGAATATATAAATTAAATGACATAAAGAAAACAAATGCCAAATAAATATTATAAAATATATAATGAGAGTTCTGGTCCCCAGGAGTCGTGTCACTGGTGTTACCGCATAACAAAAAATCTCTTATTTTGAAATAAAAGTCACACCGATGACAACACGACTTCCTTTTACCTGTTTTCTGAGGATCTATGAAGAAAAGCATATGGTGAGTCCACTGTGTCTTTCAGTTATCAGAGATTTTCTCATTTAGCTCATGATTTCATATGAAGCTTTTAGCTGAAGTCACTGGTGTGACTGACTTTATTCTGAGGTAACTGTGAAAAAATAGAATACAAATGGATTAAATTACATTTTTTAGTGGATATTCCATGACTGACAACATGTGGTTTGATGCTCTGTAGCAGTTCTTTTGTAAAATGCATTGTTCATTAAAAATGTCTCTGGTGTTACTTTATTATGTGTAACACCAATGAGGATCGGTAACACCAGTGACTCCTATGGACAGATAGAAAAGTGGATGTTTCTGTAGAATGACCCAAATATATATTGAGAGACAGAATTTGGGATACTTTTCAGGGACATTACACCCAAAAGTCTCAGCAGGCATGCAGTACAGGACTGTGATACCTGTGTTTCACTGGGATATAAATCCATGGGGGTTGAACGCTACATTAGTGAAGAAGATAAAGCGCCCATATTAAAAACTGCTTCTCATAGATGGACTGCTTTTATAAAATGAGTTCTGCATTGATGGGACTACAGAAAATCTGGCTAGTATTTTTATTAATGCCACAATAGAAGCTCTGGTTTTGGAGCTTTGGGGTCCAAAATACTAATAAACACTGCAAAAAAATGTCTGAAACTCATATTATATGACTGAACCTGTATTTTATAGCAGTCTGCTATTTGTCTTCTGCCTCTGATAGCCTCTCCTGCCTCCTGTTCTAAGTCCTCAGACACGTAACTCAGCCAGAAGCAGGACAGTCCGGCAGTCCGACCCACAGCCAGAGCCAAATTCTTGCAGAAACACTATGCATGTTTATTTGAACAGCATGTTCACAGATAAGGGTAATTTAAAGTGCTTTACATATTCATTACATAAAAATTTAAAATGTAGATAAAAAAGGAACAAGATAGATAAAAAATACATGAACCTCTTAAATGGCCAGGACCCACCAGAGGGTCTAAAGTGTTACTACACACTTCAATAACCTAAGAATTGCTCAGCCAGTCTGCATTGTAGTCTGTCAGTACTAAACAATAAGCCTTCGTATGTAATAAGCCTGAGATTTTAAGGAGTTAAACAACATAAAGCATGGTGTTGAGCTTGTCATGGGAATTAATCAAAAACAGAAGGAAACATGAATGTTTTAATCAGGAAAACATGAATGTCTTTAATGGAGATTAATGGTTATATTCCAAGCTACTTCAGACTTCATAGTAACACTACTTTGAAGTACCCAACTATATCCAACTAGAATCTACATCTAACTAGTCATCTGTGCTGTTTGAACCCCTGGCAGTTCTTGTCTGTTCTAGTCCAACCTTAGGTCATATAGTCATTGGTCACTTATGGGCAACTTGGTGACCGTTTCCTCTGTTGTGACCATATCCTCTATTGCAACTGCTCCCTCTGGTGTGACTGCTTCCTCTGTTGTTACCATCTCCTACAGTGCGACTGTTTCGTCTGGTGTGACTGCTTCCTCTGTTGTTACCATCTTCTATAGTGTGGCTGTTTCCTCTGGCATGGCCATTTCCTCTGGTGTGACCATCACCTTTGGTGGGATTCTTTCCTCTAGTGTTGCCATTTCTTCAGGTATGACCATCTCCTCTAGTGTGACTGTTTCCTCTGGTGTTACCATCTTCTATAGTGTGACTGTTTCCTCTGACATGGCCATTTCCTCTGGTGTGACCATCACCTTTGGTGGGATTCTTTCCTCTAGTGTTGCCATTTCTTCAGGTATGACCATCTCCTCTAGTGTGACTGTTTCCTCTGGTGTGTCTGTTTCCTCAAATGTTACCTTCTCTTCTAATACAACCCTTTTCATTTGGTGGGACCAATCACTCTGTTACCATTTTCTTTGGTGCAATTGTTTCCTCCAGTGTTACAGTTTTCTCTAGTGTTACCAATTCTTCTAGGTGACCATCACCTCTGGTACGACTGTTTCCTCTGATGTGGCCATTTGCTCTGGTGTGACCACCACTTCAAATGCAACTGTCACACCTCTGTGTGACCATCTTCTCTGGTGACACTGTTTCCCCTGGTGTTGCTATTTCCTCAGGTGTGACCTTCTCCCTGATGTGACTGTTTTCCCTAGTGTTATCATTTCCTCAGTAGTGACCGTTTCCTTTGTTGTGTGTATTTCTTCTGATGTGACCATGTCCCCTATTGCAACTGTTTCCTTTTGTGTGACTGTTTACTCTGATGTGAATGTGTCCTCTAGTACAACTGTTTCCTCCAAAATGACTGTTTTCTTCAGTGCAACCATTTTCTCCAGTGTGACCGTTTCCTCCGCAGCTTCCCCTTCATGTTTCACTTCAGCTGGTCGTATAAGCAGCAGATACAGCAGCACCTCGGATGGCATCATAAATATTTCAAAGACATTCAGTGCTTCATCGGCATGCTTTACTACTGGGGTAGCACAGAGCCTGACCTCCTTTCCTCCTGCAGGATTTTCTCTTGCTGTGGTTAGAAGTTGCCATAAGGCACCAATCCTGAGTCAGAATGGTGGGGTTTTGTGTATAAATCAAAGTTTGTG